GAGTTGAGTGTATTTGACTTGAGTTGAGTGTATTTGACTTGAGTTGAGTGTATTTGACTTGAGTTGAGTGTATTTGACTTGAGTTGAGTGTATTTGACTTGAGTTGAGAGCTTTGCCATGCCATCATGGCCACGATTAGCCAGAGAGGTGTACAAAGGCATCAACCCCTAGCAATCAGGCGGTCACTCCGTGTTCATGAGACGGCCGCACCATGCAATCCCATCCACCGTCACCTAAGCCATGTGCAGTATCAGTCACGGACAGTGATGACGGGTCATTTTCCAGTATCAGTCGGACAGTGATGACGGGTCATGATCCAGTATCAACTAGAGCGGCCCCAGCTGCCCGTTTGTTGTGCTTGATCCTCATCTACAGACCCCGATCTACAGACCCCGAAATAAGATACAAGGCTCATGGCTCTGACCAAGATGTCCAGCTTCTCGCCATGTTCGCGACGCATATTCTCGATTTCGCGCGTCAGTGCCTCTCCGTTGCGTCGGAGATCCTCTTGTACCCGGAAGACGTTCCAGGTCGAAAGACCTAAAAGCGTCAGTGTCGAGACGCCGATCCACGCGACGGATTGTTCAATAGCCTTTATGGTGGCGGTGTTGTTGGCTGCTCGACAGGGGGAAACTGAAGCAGTAGGGTTAGCGAGTGGTGTGCTGGGTTTGTAAGAGAAGCTTCAATTCATCTCATCTCATCACATCACGTCTCATGCCATCTCAATCCATCCCGTCCCGTCACAAAGCAAGTTGCAAGAGTAAGGCAGGAAAGGAGGTAAGGGTAGGTTGCAAGAGTAAGGCAGGAAAGGAGGTAAGGGTAGGTTGCAAGAGTAAGGCAGAAAAGGAGGTTAGGTTGCCATCCCATCTCACTCCAAAGCAAATTGCAAGAGTAAGGCAGTAAAGGAGGTTAGGTTAGGTTGCCAGAGTAAGGCAGTAAAGGAGGTTAGGTTAGGGTTAGGTTGCAAGGGTTAGGTTGTGAGGAAGAGCAACCCAGTATTGGGTCTGATCTATTCAGCTGGGACAGGAGGGAAATGACTTACACGACATTTGGCCTGTTTCCCTTCAAGTTGCTTAGAAGCCTGGCTCTGGCTCTGGCTCTAAGGTAGCCCTGTAAGGTGATCCTGTAAGGTAGAGGGGTAAGGTAGTCCTGTAGGGTAGCCCTGGCCTGGCCTTTTCAGATCAAGTCAGTATTGGAATTCGAGTCGAGGTGGAAGGAGGTGTAAAGGACACAACACAAAGGACAACGACAAAAGACGAAGCAGGAAGGAGGTGTAAATGACAATGGATAAAAGACAAAAGACAACGGACGTCCCGTACCCTACCTAGGTATGTTATGTAGGTAGGTAGACAGATACCTACTACCTAAGGTATAAATAATCTGGACCAAGATATCGACTTCAACCACGTAGTGTACCTATGTGGAGGACCAAGTTTCGTTTCGTTTCGTTTCGTTTCGAGATACACAGAACTGCTGGGATTCTCAAGTTCAGGGGGGTGTTTGGTTTTTGCTTTTGGTTTGTTTTTGGGTTGTATTTTTTGGGGTTTGAACTGATGAGACCAGTCTTATTCGTGACTGAGGATGGGATTTATAGTGGAAAGGAAAACTGGACACAAGCAGTGTTGTTGTTGGGAAATAGGTTGGTGGGTAGTACGTAGATATGTCTAGACGTTGGACATGCATCAGTACAGGAGAGAAGACATGTTTTAAAGGAGATGAAGGAGAATGAACACCAGACATGACGAGAATGTCTCATCTGTGCGGCGGAGAATGAGGACTCCTACTGGTACGCGAAAGAGTGTGAGTCACGATGGAGCAAAGTGTAAATGTAAATATCAAAACTAAAATCAAAATCAATCAAGATGGAAAAGAAACAATAATAGTAGTTGTTACTAGGTGCAAGTAGCTTTGGCGGAGGGAGGTATGCAGAAAGCTTACCATAGAAATACATTTTATTTCCCGATGCATCACAAGCATAGACTAATACTGACACTGACACTAGACCAACAATAGAAATAGAAGGAATTAAAACAGCATATATTAAGCCTCTTCAATACATGGTTGCTTGTGCTCGTCTGCTGTGCAAGACCCTCCGTGCAATTATGTATCTGCTCACGGGCACCTGCGCACCTTTGCCCGACAAGCAAGAAATGTATTAGCCATCGTCAAATCTCCGGGTAGTCCGGACGCTACACTGGGCACACGGAGTGGTGTTGTCCGGATCGTCACTGCTGCCTGTCGTGTCTGTCGGGGTCGGGGTCGGGGGAGCCAGCCTTGTCTTTGTGGTTAGGTGGATCGGGCTCGGGCGAAGATGGTGTTGGTGTCCAGTTAACAGCCGTGACCGGTCGAGTGGCACCGTTCCTTCCACTCCCCTTCTCTTCCCAATCAGCCCAGGTCTGACTGGATGGATGAACTGATGTCGTTACAGCAGAGAGCGTTGTGTATATCACCATGGACGTGTCCGAAGTCGTCGCGATAGTTGATGTAGTTGTCGGCGAGGAACCGCTCACTGGCTGGCTAGTTGAAGTAGATGACGAAGTAGTTGTTGGAGCCCCAGATGTCGTGGTAGAGCTTGATGAGCTGGGCACCAGGTTGGTCGAGGAGCTGGTTGTGAGAATGGCCAATGTTGAGGGGCTAGAGGTGGTAACTTGCCCGACAGTGGTGGATGTTGTCGTGCTCGACGCAGAAGTGGCTACAACCGACGTCGTAAGGTTCGGTGGCCAAGTTCCAGTCCAATCCTGCCAAACCTCAGATGGGTATGATCCGGTATATGAGGCGCTAGAAGTGCTTGTAGGTCCTCCAGTTGTTGGCGAAGAACTCGTTGTTGACAAACTGCTGGTTGTGCTCAAAGTCGATGTGGTTGGCCTCACCTCACCGGCTGTGGACGTAGTCGTAACTGTCCAATCCAGCCAGGCAGATTCACTGTCTGTTCCCCAGCCACCTGGTGAACTGTGGGATGGGAATGCTATGGATGAGCTGCTGGTGGTGGTGGTGGTGGTGGTGGTTATACCTGTGGCACCACTTGTCGAACGGGTTCGTGTGATAGTCCAGTCCAACCAATCAGACTCCGTCCATGTTCCGGAACCTTTGTGTGGAATCGATGGGTGAGGGCGTATGGTCGTTGTGGAATGCGTAGAGCTGGCTGTGCTAGTATGGGAGGAAGTGGTCGTCTCGCCTTTGGCCGGTAGGGAGCTTGTGGTAGTGCGGGTAAAGGTCCAATCCAGCCATGCACTCTCTGAACCCTTCCCGCTTGGATGTGCCGAACCAGACGTTGTCGTCGACACTGTGCTTACAGTAGTCTGCGACTTACTGGTGGCTTGTCCGACCGAAGAAATCGAAGTCGAAGAAGTGGATGTCGATTCCCAATCCTGCCAATCCTGCCACGCCGCATTCGTTCCGCTGTGTGATGGTCGAATTGAAAGCACGGTCCTGGAGCTCGTAGTCACTGTAGTGGTCACCAGGGTTGAGGCTGTGGTAGATGTAGAAGTTGACCTCCAATCCAGCCAGTCATCCCAGTCATGTTGAGTTACAGTGTGTGATGGCCGTGTCGAAAAGGCCGATCCCGACGTCGTGGAGGAGGTTGATGTTGCAAGAGACGACGTCGTTGCTACAGGCTTAACAGCGCTGCTGCTTGAAGTCGTCCAAGTCCGCTCCCAGTCTCCCCACTCCGACGGCGTGGAGGAGGTTGATGTTACAAGTGTCGACGTCGTTGCTACAGGCTTAACGGCGCTGCTGCTTGAAGTCGTCCAAGACCGTTCCCAGTCTTCCCACTCCGACGGCGTAGAGGAGGTTAATGTTGCTGCAAGTGATGATGTCGTTGTCACAGGCTTAACAGCGCTGCTACTTGAAGTCGTCCAAGTCCGCTCCCAGTCTTCCCACTCGCTTGCATGAGAAGGCCGGGAAGAAGTAGAGTGCGTTGACGCTGTTGATGCCGTAGGAGTCCACGCACCAGACACCGATGTAGTCGTGGTATGACCAGTGGTGGAGGTCCAATCTTCCCAATGGTTCGTCGAAGTTGTTGAAATCGACTTTGTATTGCTGCCGCTGATGGTAGTACCAGATCGAGAGGTGGCGAAACTCCAGTCGAGCCACTTCGAATCATGATCGGCTGAAGACGAATAGCTCCAACTCGGCTGGCTAGTAGCCGCGGCAGTTGAAGTGGTGGTTGTGGCTTCTGAAGAAGTCGTACCGACAGCTTGGGCAGTTGTCGTGCTGCTTGAGATAGCTGGTCGAGTTGACGTCAACTCCCAGTCCTGCCATCCCGAGTGCTCTCCAGAGAACGGTCTTGATCCGCTGAAAGGAGGCCTGCTCGGTCGTGAAGTGGTTATTGAAGGAAAGTTTGTTGGTGGAGATGTCGTGGTGGACTCCAGAGATATCGTGGTAGACGTGATAGACTCGAGAGCTGTCGTGGTGGACGTGGTGGACTCGAGAGATGTGGTGGTGGACTCGAGAGATGTGGTGGTGGACTCGAGAGATGT